GGAGGAGACACTGCTGCCGGGAGCTGAGCTCTCCTCTTCCCGCCGGAGCTCCTAACTGCAGGTCGAAGGCTGCAGTGAAGCCGGATTTGGGTCTGTCCATGGCGGACCGGTCTCTCATGGAGGCCCTGCTGGAGTCTGAGCTGAAGGAGTTTCTGGTGAACTGACAAGCATTAAGAACAACTATATGGAAATAGCAGATCTTCTCGCTGATGGTCTCGTGTAACTATGTCGGTCATATAGAGGCATCGGTATTATTATCAGTATGACTGAGACAGTTTCTTAACCAGTTAAAAGCTCCTCACAGTAACTTTAACAGGCAGGGAAATAAAGCGCAGGCTGTCAGTGTCAAGCTGCTGTTCTTCAGATCCAATATCATGGAGTAAAAAAAAATAAAGTATGCCCACAGTTTTACATTTTGTCGATGTGTTGTCATGTATGAAAGGACCCCAAATGAACATTATCAGCAGATTACCTGATTACATGCGCATAATAATTGAAACAGCATTTGTATCGGAATGATTCTCTCCCGAGCGTTTTGATCACTATAAGCCGTTTCCACTGTGTTTGATATTGTTGCAATGAATCATTTTTCGTCTGAAGAATAGTGTGAGCACAGTTTGTGGGAGTTTTCCTGTCTACAGACGTTTGACCTGAAAAGTCATTCCACTGTCAGAGAATTCTGCCCTTGGAACCAACAGTTCTGACACTCTCACACCCTCACTGATTGTTTATGAAACTCAGAGGAGTTTTACTTTTAATGATCCATGAATTAGATGCTGTTGCAGAGATTTTACACTCTGACAAGAGTCCAGTTGTATGATGCTGGTACAGTTTTTACAGCTATTGGATCTCCATTCAGTAAGACGTGTTATCTTTTTAGCCGTTAAACTTCAATCCAAAAATATCTTCAGAAGTCTAGTCAAAACCATAAAAGTATTCCCTTGCGGAGACATTTTTATTCTTGTCTTCCGTACTCGGCCTCCCTCCCTTTTTCTCCCCCTGCGTCTTACAGCTGCAATATCATCCTCAGGTCCAAGGTCTCTACTTATTCCCAGAGCATCGCTCAACATGTCACCTGCCTAACCTGCTGCCTCCTAACCCGGCTCCTCTCCTGTCCACTTTTCTTTTCCTTTTGACTGAAATATCCTCTCTGGCAAAACAATTCAAATAAGACCCAGTGTCCGTGTGGACACACACAGTCTTCAGAGCTTGTCCTTTCGCACGTCGGCTCCTCATTGGAAGCCTCCTGCTTGTATCGGATGCAAATTGGGTATTAAGATAGGGGAGAGAAACATGAGATAGCGTGACACGGAGCGGCTGAGGAGAGAGAAAGAGCGCCAAGGACAGAGTGAGAGGCTTAATGCGAGAAGAGAATGCAAATACTGTTGAGACAGGGAGCGATGGGTGGACGGATGGATGGAGGAGAGCTGGATGGATGGTTGGATTAAGGGAGAAAGAGAGACGGGGGTCAGATGACAGTGACTTTTTGGCAGGGTCAGAGTTTTTCTCTGGGCGACGGCGACGGAGCTAGATTTGCATTGATGGATCTTCTTTCCATGGGGATGTCATGTATCAGTGCTTGGGCACATCACGCCCCGGTCATTAATCAAATCATGGCCTCCGTCTAGAGTCTGTCTTTCTGCCAGACGCTTCTCATCTGTCTAGCTCTCTCTCTCTCTCGCTCTCTCTGGCTTCCTCTCACCTTCTTTGAGCAAAGACTATGTTTTTCAGTTTTGATTTGATACAATTAACACCCCGATAATGCAGCGATAGCTGAGGACATGCAACACGTCTCCACAGTTACATTCCAACAGGTCATTTAAAAGAAGAAACCAAAGCTCCAACACGAGTGGTCGTGTTCGGTACAGATGGTAATGATGTTGCAGTGAAGATAACAGATGGCGATGAATATGGCAACAGCTCTTTAATATTCAGACTAGATTTTGTACTCCATGTATTTCGGTGTCTCTTTGGCTCCAACCTGAATGGGATCAATAATATCTAAATCAAAATGTAAATTCTACATTGTAAATCTCTTCTAAGTGTAAACCTATATGCACACCCTTTTTGTCTGTTTTATAAAGCACGTGGTTCACGGTTCTTTGTAAAATGATGGACACATGCACAGGCCTGATTGTCACTCCCACTGTCAGCCATATATGTTTGTAGACACGCCCTTAATCCATTGTTTGCATATGTCTGCTCCACCACTCTCTCTATGAAAATAACAGCAAACAAGTGCATTTTCACAGGATGGCATTTTACAGCCGTCCTTACCCGCTGCTCTTACTCCTAAGGAGAATAACTCTCTTTATATCATCAGCAGCACCATCTTAATCATTGCCGTTATTTGTCTGAACTGTACTCATTAATGATTGACATTATAGCACTCATATCCATTTGATCTACAATATAACTGAAAACGAAAAGGACCTAAACACAGGAACAATGAAACCATAAAAACAAAATGAACACAAAGTTATTGCAACTTTTCAGTTTTCCCATTTCTGATTCATCAATTTTAGATCTCTTTGACTGAAGACACAAACCGGTGAGCGACACAGATGCCATTCAGATGTCCACTGTGTTATGACATATCTCTATGTTTATGTGTCTTTTGCACTGCGACTGTTTGTAGCTTGAAGAAAAAAAAACATAAAACATTTTACACTTTAGTATGTAGACTTTATGAAAGTTGATAGAAGCTGAACCTTGTCTTGATCAATGCCCTCCGTACCTTTACTCAGTCCGTCAACAACTCCCCGCCTACACAAACATGCACGTCACACAGCCATGCTGTCTGTCTCTCAGCCATCCGAGCTGTCTGTCCACGTATCGGCTTCTGCCGGTGCGTGATCTCCAACACGCTCCACATCAACTCGTCTTCTCTGTCTTCACTGGGGGGTTATGACGGTTTTGGACCCCTCGGCCTTGAGTGACAGCACGGTATGCCCGTTTGGTCAACAGTGATCATCACCCCCCCCCCCCCCCCCCGTCTCTGTCCGGCCACACCTGTTCTACAATCCACAGGCTTATTTTTAAGGGTGGGGGGGTGACCGCTAATAATACTGTGGAGCAAAAGTGAAATGTCCATTTTGAATGAGGATGCTAAATTCATCGACACCCCCAATCCTCACCCTCCCCTCTTAGGTGAAGCACCATTATGGCTTTTCAGGCTGCTTCCTGTACAGATTTTTTTTTCTCTGGTCCGTCCTCTCCCCTCAACACAAAAGGTGGCCGCCCAGGCTTTGGGGGGGTGTAGCACTTTTGAAATGTGAAGGGCTTTCAGGAGCTGCCCTGGTACAGACCTCTGTTAGTCTTACCAAGAGGAGCAGAAGGAAATGAAGGACAGGTTTGTGTAATGGTCTCCTCTCCCCCCTCAGAAGGTCACGCGGCATTGTAGGCCAGCGGAGGTCTAAAAGACAGCCCTTTAGAGGACCACAAAGCGGAGGTTTGGCAGGACTAATGAAACTCAGAGCTCCACGTTAATGATCTAAAAGACTGGACCAAAACACTCAGCAGTCCCTTTCCGCTCGCATTCAGCCTCCTCTTGATCGCTCCTTCCAAATAATGACCAGGCACTCTCCTCCTCTACCTTTATTGTAACCTTTGATGTCCGCCTTGTTTTCTTTGTCTCCGTGTCCCCCCTCCCTCCTTTTCATTCCTTTGTGTTGCGCGGCTGTCACTCATCTATTAAGGCAACAAATGGAACAAGGAAAACATTCAGTGAGCGTATTGTGGTGCACCCACAGGTTTGCTCTTTATTTCTTTTGAAAGCACTTGAACTTGGAATTTTCCTTGGGCTGCCCAGCAGGGTACACTTTTTTTGTTGCAGCTATTGTCACAGGATTACATGGACATGTTTGTTTGTTAATCCGCATTTCTCCTCCCCTATAGTGCAATGTTTCTATGGGACTGTTTATATATGACTGTTTATATATTTTCCCATTGTATTATAATAGTGATATAATGCATTTAAAAGGAAAAAAAGCATTACACTGCTTCCACTACTTCCCTAGTAGAAAGTAGTTCCAGTGACACTAAATTGATCATTTCAGCCCCAACTGAACTTGGCTGACTGTTGTTAAAACGTAGCAAGAAGCAAGCTATTCAATCTGTCATATATTTACCCAACATGCACACAACAGCATGTCCAGCTTTTCCTGCCGGAGATGATCTGCCTGCCTTGCAAATAAACAGTGTTGAAATGTGTTACCTCCAGCAGGACGGAGGCTGACTGAATGCGTTAAATTGAATAGTGTCTCCTGACGTCGTTGCTGAAGTTCATCAGGCCTTTAAGAAGCCCTTTGACATGCTCTGATTATGTTTGGCTGGAGCTGCATGAGATATGTGAGATGAGATGTGTGTCTTTGGATCGTCTGTGTGTGTGTTTTGAACCCGTGTGTAGGGCCTGTTGATTGGCCTTGATTAACAGACTGCCAGGCTCTAGCAGCAGCTAGGGCATTTGTAATGCAGCATCTTGAGCTGGTTATTTCCAATCATTCCGCAGGAGGCCTTGAACCTGTGTGTGTGTGTGTGTGTGTGTGTGTGTGTGTGTGTGTGTGTGTGTGAGAGAAAAAAATAAATATGATAAATATAAGAACACACAGTCTTGAAACAAGGCTTTTTTTCTTGGAAAGAAAGGTGTTTCCGTATTCTAAACAAGGTCTTCTGGTTGTGTGCTGAATGGCTAGTCAGCACTTTAGAGTGAGTGACCGATAAAGTGAGGTTTTATTTAATTCAAACTGAGCAACGCAGAGAATTAACATGTGTAAAGCTGGAAAAGGAACCAATGAATTATGTATAAAATGCTGTACCAGCATTCACAATTGAATTCTCTGTATTCTGCCAACATTTCCTGAGAAGGCTCTTGATTGACATATTTGTCTGTTATGTTCCACTGCAAATTATTCAAAAGGAGATTTCTCTGACCTTGCTGTCCAGGGAACATCCAGTACTGAAAAGACTTTTAATAATCCTGCATTTCTGTATGTTTCCAGCCAAGCTGAGCAGCCAGGATTCATACAACTTCACCAATAACAACATGGGGAACCCGCGTCTGTCCCCGCTGCCCAGCCTCACTGTGGTGCTGCCTCTGGCTCAGATCAAGCAGCCCATGACCCTGGGCACCATCACCAAACGCTCCGGGTAGGTAGCACATCACACACACACACACACGCACGTCTAAGCTTTTGTTCTCCACAGAAAGTCCAGTTCCAACGAATACTTCACCCCCAAAATGATCGTTTGTATATTAATAACCCTGAATTCTTGAAGAGAACTTTGCTTCTCTCTCATGCCTCCACTGTGAGCGGAGAATAGAAAGATTCTTAATGAATTGCAGCAAATGGAGGCCACGATTAATAACAGCAAAACTATATCAGAACATCCGTTTGCAGATACAATAATGATCCCATCACAGAATCCCTGACTTGGTGGGACATGTCACTGCACTGATCTCCTCTGTAGGGTTAGTCTTCACTTCAACCACCATACTGAGCATTTATAGGCCAGCTTTATACACTTAATACATCATTATAATACACCACAATGTAGCTGTAAGCAGAGACACGGATTATTGCTTATTGTGTTATTTATTGTGTTTGTCAATGATTGTAACAGTTAATGAATGATGACACAGTATAATCATGTTATATTGACAATCACTTTTTTATACACCAGTCCCAATTTTATTTCTATAAAAATTGTGACTGTATATATTTGTATAAACATATATATATATATATATATATATTAGACTGTTTATATATCTACTTATATCTGAATGTTCTTATATCTGCTTGAAACTACATTATATTGTGTACTACGCAATTATATATAGTTTATTAACTGCCTACAAATATAAAGTGTTTCCTTATTTCTGTTGTATGAAAATACAAGAGAAAGAAGAGATTTATCCAAAAGAGTAACATTTTACCTCATGTTAGCTCTATATACAGTACTATTAAAAGTAACTTTTTTATATATATAAATATATATATATATATATATATATATATATATATATAATGATGAATTAGACTCATCTTTCGTCATTGTGGTCATTTTCAAGAATAACTCCCTTTTGTAAAATAATCCAGGTACATTGCACCACAGAGTCTTCAACTTAAAGCCTTAACATGTGTAAAAGGGTTATTGGCAACCTCACAAACTCTACTATATTTACAGTTTGGCCACTGTTGAGGAAAATTCAAATCACACTGTAGTACATCCTTGACTTCAGTCTGTGATTCGCTGTCTTTTTCCATTAATCACATTGTAAAAACACTGTATTGTGTCAACAGTAGCCCTGTCGAGGCCAAAGCTTTTCCTCTCACATCCAGCTGATGCTCATGGACTTCTTTTGTCTCAGGCCACCACTTTTTTGCATAGGGTAATGAAGCAGAACACACATGCGGACTTGGTCTGTGGGCTGTTTGGAAAGCAGATAAAACACATCATGCATATCAACAATAGAAATGAAACCCTAAAATCATATTCAAGTCATATCCAATGCAGTGTGCCCCTGCTTCCAGATTAAAGGAAGAGAGCTCTGCTCTCATGCACCTCTGTCCTCCGTCTTTTTCTTTTTTTTCTTTTTCACCTGGATCTTCGCCATGCATTGAAATTTTGTAGTTTTAAGACCATCGGCAACTTCAGGCCTCTGCTAAGTGCATTTACATACAGTACAGGTGGCTCCACAAATATGGGGAGATTTTAATATTTTCATTTAAATGTCATTTTCATGTCCTGTTTGAATGGTAAATGCCATAATGATTCCAGCAGACGGCGAGGGATTTATTCCCCGTGATATTTGATAAGTGAGCTTTGAGGGTAAAAATAGAGACCGACGTGGACATCAGGCCATTTTCCAAATCATTAAGGTGACTTGCAGAGTTCATTTGGTTTATGAGATGTATTTTTGCTTATGGGCTACTGCGGTGTCGCGCTTCGGTGTATTTATTGTGACCGCTGGATACTGGTGGTTTGCATTTGGTTTAGCAGCTGCATTGTTTAACGTCATACAGTGTCGGTGGATGCTTTTTATTGAAAGGTAAATATGTCCTGATTCACCTTCAATGAGACGCTTCAGGTTCAATTACAATTATCAGTTCTTATGTTCATTCAAAATGGGCTGTTTTTTACAATCTTTTTTTTAAAATCTGAAAGCTTTGTTTGTTTTTTCCAATGGTGTTTTTTATTGTCTCCATTCTATACTAAAATTGCTCTTTTATATTTGTTGACTTATCTATGCTTTTTCTATTCTTTTTTTCAGTTGTAAGTACTAATGTACACTGATTTTATAATGCTTTCATTATACGGCCTCCATCTTTGGTGTTGAGCAGTAATAATATTTCATTTCTATTCTTTTTTTATGATGCCTATTTGATATTTGTATATTTCATTATTACTGTGAAATAAGGGGCAGGGTATTGTTTACTTTGTTGTTGACTTGTTTACAGGGTACCTTTTGATACTAGTGACAATATGATATTAAAAACTATTTGATACCACAGCAATAGATTCATATTATTAAGATACGTATATTAACAAAACGCATTACCTCAATGAAATCTCTTCTGAAATTGGCAGATTTATTTTAATTAAATTAGGAACTATCATATATTATCCAGACATTTGATGTTCATTCCTTGAAAGAGTCTAATACTCTATGCTACACAAATATTTGTGTTGGTGGAAGTTATTAGTTAGTAATATAGTTGACACCCTTTTACTTCTTGTGTTTTGTGCCATTTATTTTCGGGCTTTTATGGCCTTTATTAGTGCAGCTGCAGAATGACAGGGAAGGGGGAAGAGAGCGAGCGGAGGACACGCAGCACAGGGCCGTGGGCCGGAATCGATCGCTCTACAGGAGGTCGCCCACAAACAGAAATATAATAAATATCTGCAGCTGTATGCCAGAGGGATCTCTCTACAGGCCACTGTTAGATTGCTATTTGCTTTCATGACTTACTGTAGGTGGTAATCCTTGATATTAACCGTCAATAGAGAAGAACACATCATCTGTTTAGATGGATCTTTAGTTCAACATGAAGATACTTTCTTTGCTGGATGTATTCTAATTGTTTTTACTCCCAACAAATTCAATGAAAAGACCAACAGCAACAACGTGTTCATTTCTAAATATCTCTGGCTCACAGCCTGTCTGTGGAGAGTTTTATATATATATATATATATATATATATATATATATATATATATATATAGTGATGGTAGACTAAATATCAGAAACACCTTAACCGTAACACAAAATAATGAACACAATAAGAAGTGAGCATTGTTCAGTATCTTCCATGAAGGCAGCATTTATTTTAGGGCAGACGTATATATGATCAAATTTAAATAACATGTATCTGATCATTTGCCAAGTCAGTGTTTTTTCTGGAAACAGCCGGTCACTGCAGTTTTAACAAACGTTACTCAAATGGGAGGAAATAGTGCATGTGTTGGGGAATATTTCATTAACCCACATTAGGTGCTCTACTGAATATGTGTGGCAGCAGGATGGTGTATATGAGACTGAGTCAAATAATCTACAGTGCGTGCGTTGATGGTGATGAAGGTCAGCCAGTTGAACACTGTGGCTCATTGATGTGTTTTTAATCATTTTTTGACAATAATTTGCCTTTGACTAAGCCACGCCCCCGCTTCTACTCCGTCAAGCTGTCAGAGCTATGTTACTATGGAGCCCACACTGTCACTAACTGCACTCACCGAATAAATATGATCTAGTATTTGGGAAAAGAACGAGCGATTTCAGAGAGATGCTGACCGCAATAGGCTTTTAAAGGATTTATCCAGGATGGCAAACCGATTGAGCAGTGAAAACAGACATTTTATAAACGTATATATCTCCTTCCAACCTCACTGGGTAATGAGTTTCACGTTTAACCACGTCTATAGCTCCAAATCCACTCAACCAGCCTGAAAATGAAGGAAATCTGAAGGGATTGCATTAACCCTATGGAGCAAGAGTTAGATAGTTAGAATTCTGCGAATATGCCACATTTCTCGCTCATTATACCTGGTGAAACACCTCAAACAGCTATCCGGCTCTGTATTAGCAGGCCTGGTATGGGCCAGAGAATGCATCAGTATTAATGCATCAGGACATGCAGCTGTGCGGTCGGCTCCTGCGTGCACACGGCTGCACCAATACACCAAAAACACACACACACACACACTGAGTGAAGCAACAGGTTTGGCCCCTAGAGTGGGGGGTGATATCATATGCTTTCACGCTATACTTGCACAGGAGTACCCAGGCACCATCTGTATGTCTGTGCAGCCAGCCCCCTCTCTCTTTTTGTGTGTGTGTGTGTGTGTGTGGTAGAGAGATGGAGAGGGAGAGGAGCGTCCGGCAGCTGTATTTACACCTGTACGGGCAGATCCTTGTTGGCAGGACGGCAGAGGAACACACCAGCTGCTTAACCTACATTCCCTACCAGGCTGTCTTTGTGTGCACTGTGCCGTGTGACACGCACACACACACACACACACATGCGTTGATGAGGCTTTTACCCCCCTTTGTGTGACCAGGCTCACTGGGAGGATACCGTCATAGACCCCAGCATGCCTACAGACCATAATTGTGCAAAATGCTGCTGTTTTATCTTCGGTTGCCTCACATTTTTAACTTCAAAGGAAACCTCAACAAGTTCATGCAGAGCTCCCTCCTCTTTGAATTTAGATTTTGGTGTTCTCCCCTGTCGAAGGGAGGCAGAGGCGGATGTGGCTCTGCACCCGCCTGATAACCCCCACCCCCCTCTGGACGAGGCCAGGTCAGGGAGTGGAGGAACACAGCCAAGGGTCTGCTAGTCCTCAAATCTTCTCCTGAGAGTCTCCTGAACAAGGAGGAGTGTTGGCTCTGACTCTGCCTCTGGCTTCCCCTCAGCCAAGTTCGGTAGAAGGTTGGCCCCCGCTGAATTAAATCCCAAAGAACAAAAAGACATTTGCTCAAAAAATCTAAAGATTCTCTCCCGGTGAAATGTCACCGTCAGAACTCAATCTGTGAAAAAGATTAAGAGAGAATTATTCAAACAGTCAGTGCCAAGGACAGTCTACTTGTCCCTCCAGTCACCGGACTAGTATGAGGACTTAACTTGTCAAAATGCCCGAGAGTGATACATTTGGGATTTGTAGGCAGACAAACTATTGCACACTTATCCCATCTACACATAATCTGACTTTAATACAGACAAATGAAAATCCAAATGGAAAGATTGTCACACACTAAAACACAACACCACCCTTTGAGCAAATCCTGCTCATGACGGAGTGCAGGCGAGGTAATGACAAAGACAACAGCAAGCAAACGGAAGAAACCCTGTGACCTGCTGCAGATGTGCCCTCAGATTACTGTAATACGTATGTATGTGTGAGGCAGCCCTGTGCTGGAGCCATTGTCTCACAGAGCCTCACTGAGGCCGCAGATAGAAAGGGGCTTTAAGAATGCCCAACGTCACATGGCAGCAAGACTAAACCATTTGCACAAATCACCTCACTTCCCTCCTGTTTTAATGGCCCAGGCGGAGCTGCTATTAGGGCCAACGGGTTAAGAGATGAATGTGTGAACGATTATTCTCTGGGAGTGGGGTCGTCGCCCTCACAGGTTGATTACGCCCCCCTCCCCACCCTCTCCTTCCTCTTTCTCTGCCTCTTCAGTAACACACCCACTCACCATCTCACAGCCCTTTTACTCCACTGACCCATGTTTAACTCATGTTTCCAAACATGCCACTGACCTGTGTGAGATTCTTCTCCATCGAACCTGCTGGATCAGGCAGTGCGTCACATAACTGGCCAGCCTTTTTCTACTCCGTGGTAAAAACAAACAGCTCAACATGGTGGACAATTTTCTCAACATGACTCTTTGGTTTTATTCTCAGCAGTGTGCAATTTGACATTCAGATTTTACACTAAAACTTAAATTATTTCAATATAATAACCCATATATGTGGTGTACGGCAATTATTCCAGGCTGGTCCTCTAAAAATGATATTCCCTTACAACTAAATGGCAGTGTCTATTACTGTTTGAGGTTCACGTTTTTTCTTCTGGACCAAATTTGTTTTTGATTTCATCACAAATACGTTTCTAATCAAAGTCCAAGCTGCTTGAGATGAGACAATTGTTTCCAGCTGACAGCCTGGGTTAGGGTTAGTGTTAAAAGCTTTATTTAGAGCCACAAAGAGCAAAGTGTTTTACTGTGGGAAAGTAGCATTTGTGTTCAGAAAGGTGACCGTTTTTGTAGCACTGCATTCTTTTTATGCTACTGCAGTTGATAGTCTGTAGTTGATACTGTCTACATTGCAGTCATTCTACTGTAAAATGCAAATTTGCTGAATGCTAATTCAAATTTTAACATTTCAATTACTCTTATGCAACTATTTTAAGATGAGTCTTAAATGAAGGCCTCCATGAGCCACAATGCTCCCGCTGTTGTTTTGGACTGGGTATTTAGTTCTTCTCCAACTGCCATTAATTCCCATCACTCCGTTAGCCACCAACAATAAATTCCACCAACAATAAGTCCCAAGGAAGTAAGAGGGAGAAATTGAAAGTGGCATCTTGTTAACCCTAAAGCCTACTTGGCCTTTGCTACCCCCATGGAGAGCTCACCCCATTCGTCCATCACTCTCCCATTGGAGTCCATCCATTTACCCAGCTGGAGACCCAGAGTGGGGGCTCAGTGGGTTCGATAGGCTCAGCGGAGGGCGGACGGTAGAGACCGTCCACCCCCCTCTGCACCTCTTTGATAAGTGGCAGATTACCAGGGGCCTCCATTACATCAACCAGCATGTTCACTTCTCAACTTGCGCTCCAGGAGTAAGACATTCCAGGGCAAATTGTTGCTCCCTGTCTCCCGGAGGAACATTTTTCTACACATCCATGTACCAAGACTAATTGAAGACTGTGTGCTATCGTTAGGAGGGCCCGGGCGGATGCGGCGAAAGCGATAAAATAAAGAAGTGCTGCAGAGTGCTTTGGTTGGCCGGAGATTCTGTTTTTCATGACTAGGGGAGGTTTGCTGGCGGGGACAGAGTTCAGTCTCATCGGACCTTTATTGCTGTAGGGAAAAGGCTTATTTACTGTAAACTGTTTACGGAGCTCTGTCACTATCTCTGGACATGCAGAATAAACACAGGAACACACTCCCACTCCTAATGTCTTGTAAACATTAGAAACACGCACAGACTGACAGATGGACAGAAATATACCGTGAAAAAGACACTCTAGATGACTCCTACACACACACACACACACACACACTGTGTACTTGTTAACATAATCACAGTGAACACACATTGGCCCACACACACACATTCAAAAGACAATGCATGGCCATAAATACACACTCTTACTAAAAAAAGAAGTTGCATGCAAACACACAACTTCTTGTCCTAACAATGCCTGAGTGCTGTTAGTTTTATTGGTGTCCCCAGTTGTTATGGAAATTGGATAAACTCCTCATACTTAAACTTTCTCAATCTCAACAATCAGAACTGTTTCCCATCGTTTTCCTGTATCGTATTTACACGGTTGGATTCAGACCTACGTGTTTCTGCACATGTACACAATCCCTTTAAAGTTAAGGGAGAAAAAAAAAGCATGACAGATGTCCGAAGAAAAAAAAGAAACAAAGTCTGTGGACATGCTGCATCTGCCAAATATATGGTATCACACTTTACAGAGCAGCTTGAGCAGATGAATCATCAAGCCATCCCGCAGGTTTTCAAATCCATCTTAGCGCACGGACATTCTGTTTCCTGCCTCATATGTGTTGTGCACTTAAACAGACACGTCAAAAAGTATGTAATGTGAAAAGTGTGTTTGCTCAAGTGTGCTAGTTTAATAATGGTTTTTCCATCTATCTCTGTACCCCCACCCCCTTCACCCTCCCCCCTCTCATGAAGACCCTACCTCTTTGGGGCGGGATGTTTTGCCATTAAAACTCCATGGTGAGTTTTGCTCTTCCCCTTCTTGTCTCCCTCGGTAGCATGCAACTGAATACCCCGCCACAGCACACCGCCTCCTTTACCTCTCATTTGTCTCCTGCTATATTTTCAACACATTCTGCAGTCTGTGCAGTCACTCCTCAAGTCGGACAAATCCCAAAGAGGGGCGTTTGTTATGTTCTCATCTTTTTATGCCTTTTTTTTGCAAACCCTACAATTTTGTTTCTGTGTATGTAGAACTTCTGTAGTAGGGTGATTCAACATGTTGTGTTAAAGCCACTATGGTACTAAAGCGAACAAAGAATGTATGGGTTCACATTTTAACACCTGGTCTTTTAGGAAATACATAAAAAGTGATGCTTTAGGTCTGTATTTGAGGTGGTAGTGCAGGGGACATATTGTAGGACTTGAGGGAAATGCCGTAGCACTTCTTGTCTGGTTGCCATGTGGTTTCTCTGTTGTCTGTCTTTTTCGTTCTCTCTGTTTTTAATCCTCTGTGATGTAGTTCCAAAAATAATGCCTTCGTGTAAAACACGTTCACATTTTTTTACCACGCAAAGAAACCTTTCTCTGTTTCATGTGTGTTTGCATGCAGTAATTGTTCCTAATGTTGGAATGTAATGTTGTTAACTGTGTTAAATGTAAAAATCAGCTTCTCTGTTTTGTTCATTTAACTAAATCATTTCATTTAAAGCTTCACTAATCATTTTGGTGTTATAGTAACGATGGGTCAAATCACTATGTATACTGTGAAAGAGGTCGCTCAGAGTGTGTAATATACGGCCCACTGTCGGCTCTCATCCACCTGGTTTCTGTGTTCAGCAGAAAAGCACAGATTAGCTCTAATGACAACCCTTGTGTTCTGAATATCAACAAATGACCTTCTTATTTAAACTAAGCCTTACCTTTACAAGATCTCGGAGTCCCTGCCCACATCTCCATCTTTCTTCAACAATTTACAAAAAGTATGATGCTCACTGATGGCCGAAAAACGACCGAGCCAATCAGAGCTTGGGAGGCAAGACTAAGAATGGAGAAGTCACGTGAACTCAAAAATGGCTAAATAAAAGTTATTACCACAAGGAACCTTTAACTGTTATGAAACAGTCTCAATTGAATAATGATACCTTTATGTGGCTACATCAGTAAAACAAGACCATCAGTTTGTATTATTCTATATAGTTATACCTAATACTTGTCATCGGGGCCACCGGGTCGGATTCCAGCGAAATCAGACAAACTCCTGCAGGTTCACCAGAAACCCCTTCAGCTCAGACTTCAGCTCAGACTTCAGCGGGGCTTCCGGCAGCGACCGGTCCTCTGAGGGGAGACCAAGATCTGGCTTCCCCTCCTCTTCCGGCCAGGAGAACGACAATAATATTTTAAGGCTGATAATCAGGAAATGGCTACTTTCACCCTTACATTTTGAGTTCAACTTCATCTTTTAATGCCCTTCCCTGAGATTGAAACGTTAGAGGGCACAGCATCTTCCCATTCAAGGATCTTTGTCTTGCAGGGGGCTGAGGCCAAGTCTCTTTTCAACGCTGTCTCATGAAATCAGATGCTTACAAGCTTTTAAAAGAAGCCCCATTATGATAGAGTCACTTATGGGGAGATGATTGAGTGGCTCAGTGAAGTGAACTTTTCCCTTCCCGGCTCCCTGCTCTCCACCTCCTCCCTGTCTACTCCATTCACTTTAGAAAATGAATAGCATGTGCTGCCTTCCCCGAGTCTTGGGTTTCGTCTTTTGTTGTGGGCAGTCACTCATACTTTTTAATTGAAGCTTTTTTTTCTTTCTGTCTTCATCCACCTCCCGCTTAATCCAGGCCCTTAGTGATTTCAGAGCGTATATCTTTCAAAGGTACACATCATTAGCGCCGGAATCTTGACCCTCGCAATAACCGCCTTCTGCTAAAACTTCAGCTTGTTAGACCTATATTCTTTCTCTAACAGTGTATGTCTTGAGACATGAGCAATGACAGTCCATTCGCCAATATCTGCTTACCCCGAGTTCAGCCCTCTTTCTTTTCCTTTTCCAGGGCACCGTGGACTGAATAATGCCTTCTCAAGTTTCCACTATTTGAAACAACTGATTTTGTGGTGTGAGACTCCAACCTTCTGACCAAATATATGGACTTTCACAAATGTATTTAATATTATTTGCACAGTCTGACTTTAATAAACGTACATGTCTATTACGGCACACGTAGAGTATCGGGAATAGCAACAGGTAAAAGAAAATAGTCCTGGTTTCCACGGTGATGGCCACTCTCCAATGTTCACTGAGTCTCCAGTAGTTGTCATTAGTGCTGTGTGTTCGACACAGCCCCAATGCTGCCTCTTTTCCAAAAGCTGTTGTAAAATAATAAATGTGACGTTGAAGGATGTGTCCTCCACATGACTGCCCTCTCTCTCTTCCTCTCTCTGTCTCTCTCTCCCTTCCTGGTTGCAGTCTTAATACCGGCTCCTTTTCTGATTTGAGTTCACCATATTGCCCAGAATCAGTACAACGGCAGCCGAGCAGCTCTTTTACCACCGGATAGTCAGCTCAAGTGAGCTCTATCATATTTGTTGACTGCGAGGGCCCTGAGAACAAATGGAAGCTGCCACCGGGACTTCCATCCCCCCTCGGAGGCGCCTCGTGTTAGCCCCGGGCGTAGTAATGCGAGGGGACTTTGATGGTTGATGTCGCAGATTGAATTATGCCCTTGAGGAAAAGCTATTAGCTCAGTCAAGAGTCCTCATTTGTTAAATTAAAAGTGGAAATGACATGAGTAGTCTTCAGTGGATTAAAGTTGCAAAGAAAATGGATTCTTCTCCCTCCTAAAGGGCAATCGTACAAAACAAAATGTTGTGGACAGAGAAAAAAAAAGATTTTCCGTTTGTTTAGTTACCCCCTCCCACAAAATCCCCTTTTAGTATATTTATTTATCTTTCACAATTTATTCCTATTGGGTTACTTTTTTCGGAACTTGGTGCCAGTCGCCGACTCACC